TCGAAGCCAGGTAGCTCTAGCTCTAGCATCCCAGGGGGCAGTTACTAGAAGTGTCACAGACAACAGAGAAAATCATCCCTCTAGAAAGATACCAAGGTCACATAGCAAAATAAGGCCTTAGGAAGTTATGTAGAACCACCAGATGTGCTGAACTTCCTTCCTCCTCTCTGAGGGCCAGAAATGCTATGATGATGCTTTATTTGTTGTTCATGTGCTTTAACACACACAATTCTGCATGGTGGACACTATAAGCATCAATTAGCACACAATGGGTACTCAGTGAATGCTGTACATGTGAATAGCTAAGTGAGTATCATTTCATTTTATAGATGGACACAGATGTCAGAGAGGTGAGGCCACTACACTGCTGGTGAGCCCCTGTGGCTCCATGATTAGCATGCACACCTACAATGAGTGGTAGCCTACAACGAGTTCCTCCCACTGGTCCTCACAGACATGTCTTTAAAGAAGACCTGACTTGGAAATCAAAGACTCAGCATTGAGCCCTGGTTCATCCATTCCACAGTATGAAGGAAGGCCAAAAGTGGGAGGACACAGAGACTTTCCTAAGAAAGTGTTTGAGCAGCTATTTGGAGCTGGTCAGATTCAGAGGTGAGTTAAGTGGAGAGGAAAAGTGGGCAGGGCATTTCAGATACAGGAAACTGGGAGAGAAATATTCCTAAGGCAGGGAATTTGCATGCAGAGGGAGGAAGACTGAGACTCAGAGTTTCTGCAGAGGGAGGTAGATGGTACAGTGGCTGAGATGCTAAAGAGACATGAGAAATCTATATAATTCACTAGCCTCAGGTCAAGAAGTCCAATTGGCTGATATTAGTAGTTGTTTTCAACTCTATTTGGTATATGATTTTAAGGCTTTTGAATACAATCATACTTTGCTTAATGACAGGGATATGTTCTGAGAAATCATTAGAGGCAATTTTGTCATTGTGCAGCAATTATAGTGTGTACGTACATAAACCTATATGGTATAGCTTACTACATGCCTAGGCTATATGGCATAGCCTATTGCTCCTAGATTAGAAACCTGTGCAGCACATAAATGTATTCAATACCGTAGGCCCTGTAACACAATGGCAAGTATTCATGCATCTAAACATCTAAACATACCAAAAATGCCAGGCAACCACAAATTTTCAGCTCCATTGTATAATCTTATAGGACCACTATAAAATATGCAGCTGTTGTTGACCAAAACATCATTATGTGGTGCACGACTGTATTTCAGTGAAGTGTTAGTTGATCAGTTTCCACTTGAGCTATCTTTCAGCATTTTAAAAGAAAGGTCATTCATTAATTCATTTGTCTCTACTTCAGATCTCAGCTGTTGCTAGGTGGGATGGGGAAAAGGATCTCCCTGCTGGAGAAAGGACGTGGCTCACCAGGGCTGCACATTTTGGAGGGGGACTGATGAGAGGCTGGTGGGGGGAGACTCTGTGGAACGGAGAGGAAAGGATACTGGGAGAAGACAAAAAAGAGACTGGGACAAAGAGAAAGGGAGACCAGGAGAAAGAGATCAGGAGATCAAAGGGCTGAGAGGGGGAGGAAGGGACAATGGGTGGGAAGACTTAGAGCTGAAGGAGAGAAAATGTGGGGCACAGAGCTGGGAATTGAGGGAGCAGAGAGGGGCCT